CTCTATCATTGTGACTATACGCTTTCATCTTGAACACAAACTCGCTGATGTGTCTGAAACAGAAACTGCAATGCCAACCAGAGTCTGCTAAAAGAGTGTCCCCTTGTCGGAAATGAGCGTACCGTGTCTTCTCGGGCTTGTACCGATGAATCGAAGCTCTCCAGCTTTTGTTATCAACGAAATACTCAAAAGAGTATAAGTAGTTTTTGAGCTGAAGATGAAGAACCGGTGGGTAACCATCACACCATCTAAGGAGGTTAATGGTATGAGCACTGGGAATCTCATCAACATCAGACATTATCAAAAGATCATCTTCTTGAATCCCAGCGAGTCTTATTAACTGATCCAATGCTAACCTCTGGTAAGCTTCCTCCACAAAAGGGTTCACACCTCTCTTGAATCTCCCTCCTATGTTCCCATAAGTCAACCTCGGCTCCACAAAGTCAAAGAGCTTCTCTCGGTTCGTAGCGAAAACCAACGGTTTAGGTAAACCGGTGAAAGTAGAGTTAGATTCAAGAATAACAAACTGTGTTACATAAGGGTAGAGTTCCTTCCAACGGATGGTTAGCATGTCTACTTCGTTGCTGAAAAGGACAGCGTCAAAGACGCGTCTTGGAGAGTCGCGGTGTTTCCACCCGTGGAGGCTGCATAGCGTTTCCATGGAGGTGTTGGAATGGTAGTAATGGGGGAGTGTTTGAAAGGGCTTTGGTGGTGATTCCCAGAGAGGTCTCAAGAAGTAAGTAAACTCCGAGGATGAAGATTGGGATGATGGTGAAGAAGAAGATGTATGTCTTGAAATCGAATCCTTTTAGTACACATCTAACCCTTGAGAAGGCCTTAGCTGCTCCAGAACCATCCTGCAAAACCAAAAAGGGGTAATCTATACTATTATTTAAGAATTAAATTTGCTTAGTTGTCAACTTCTCATTGATTTTAGGTAATTTTCTTTATTTACCTTATTTAAATAATTTCATATATAATTTATTATTTAATAAAAACGAATTTTTATTAATAATATTATATTTTAGAAAATATGTTGATTGTTTTGTATTAAACAATAATTAAATTTGCTTACTTGTCAACTTCTCCTTGATTTTAGGTAAATTTGTTTATTTACCTTATTTAAATAATTTCATCTACTATTTATTATATAATAAAAACGAATTTATATTAATAATATTATATTTTAGAAAATATGTTGATTGTTTTGTATTAAATTATATATTTTTCTATTATAAAATTCAATTGAATTAACTGACTGATTTGTAACTTCTCCATAATTTTTGTAATTTTGCCTCTTTGTTATATTTTAATAATTTTATGAATAATTTATCATATAATCAAACGAATTTCTATTAATAATATTATACTTTAAGATAATAAGACAATTCTTATGTATTATATTTGTATCATTAAAATATATTTTTATCATAGAAATTAAAAATTAAGTTAAAATATTAATAGTTAAATATAAAGAAAGCAATGCTGATTTATCAACATCTCCATGGTTTTATATTTTTCTTATTTATCATATTTTAATAATTCATATACAAATTATTAAATAATAACACGAATGTATACTAATAATAATATATTTTAAAAAATAAAAATTATTTTTTGAGAAAATAAGATACTTCTTATGTATTATATTGTTATCCTGAAAATATATTTTTATTATAAAAATAAAAAAATTATGATAGAAAAAATTATAATTAAAATAAATTAAAACATCACATTTGTTAAAATATACTTCTTAAAAATATTTTATTATGTGAGTGTTGTCATTTATAATTAATTTTAAAACATAAATTATAACTTATATATTGGTTTGAATTAATAAAATATAGACTAATAATAAATTGTACGAAAATTATGCCCGCATGTGCGGGCAAAACACCTAGTATAGTATTAATTTATAAAGTTAATAGTGTGTATAGAAATATTAGGTAAAATAGCTATGCCGTGAATTATGGTTTTTTTCTATATCATACAATCTAACTAGGTGTTTTACCCGCACTTGCGGGCCTAAATATTTTATAATTATTTTATTAATACATTTTTTACTAATTGAAAGATTATAATGATAAAGTATTATTTATGTTTTATTTTTTTTAAACCAATAATATTTATATTTTCATTTAAACATTCTTACATATATTTCTTTGTACATTATGTTCGCTATTAAAAATAAATCTTAAAATAAAATAATATTTTTCTTTTTAATTATATAAAATTAAGATGTTTACTTGATTAATATTTAATTATGTATTTTATAGTTTTTATTAAAATATATATATTTTTAGATAACAACACAATATATATAGGAATTATCTTATTAAAATACATATTATTTATATTTTGGATAATTTTTATGATTATTATTAATTTTAATTACTTATCTAATCAAATAGTTTTTAAATTCGTTTTTATTTTGTATGAAATTATTATATTTTATTCATTAAGGGTATTATAGATATGAACCGCTCCAACTTTTAACGTGGGAGCTAGGTGTTTTGCATGCCATGCGGATTTAAGCCTTTTATAATTATTTGTTAGTAAATATTATCTTTTCACTTATATAAAATTAAGAATCTATAATATTATTTAAGAAGTAAATTTGCTTAGTTGTCATGTTCTCCACAAGTTTAGGTAATTTTGTTTATTTACCATATTTTAATATTTATATATAATTTATTTATAAATAAAACGAATTTATATGAATATATCATATTATAATTTTAGTAAATAAAATAATTCTTGTGAATTATGTTATTATCTTGAAATATATTTTTATCTATACTATTATTTAAGAAGTAAATTTGCTTAGTTGTCATGTTCTCCACAAGTTTAGGTAATTTTGTTTATTTACCATATTTTAATATTTATATATAATTTATTTATAAATAAAATGAATTTATATGAATATATCATATTATAATTTTAGTAAATAAGATAATTCTTGTGAATTATGTTATTATCTTGAAATATATTTTATATATAAATATTAAATTTTAAATTAAGATATAAAACTATTATATTTATCTAAAACAAATTTATAGTAATAATTTATTTATTATTTAAATATAACTAAAACAAATTAATATTTAATAATTTAATATTTTCTAAAATAAGATAATTATTATGGATTATATTGTTATGTTGAAAAGATATTTTCCTATTATAAAACTTAAACTTCAGATATAAAATTATATTATTATTAATTAAATATAAATCATCAAAACAATGATTTGAAAAGTGAATTTGTTGATTTATCTCCATGATCCTATGTAATTTTGATCATTTGTCAGAATTTTATAATTTTTATTATTATTGATTATATAATTAAAACTAATTTATATTAATAATATGATATTTTAGAAAATAATTTAATTCTTATGTATTATGTTGTTATCTTGAAAGAATATTTTTCTATTATAAAATTTAAAACTAACGTTTAAAAAATCTATAAAATTATTTAAGAAGTGAATTTAATGTTTGATGATTTGTCATATTTTTCATGATCTTAGGTAATTTTGATAATTTATAATAATTTATAGAATTTTAAATAGAATTTATTATATATTTTACAAATTATATTAATAGTATCAGATTCCAAGAAAATAAGATATTTATTGTGTATTAAGTTGTTGTCTTGAAAATATATTTTTCTATTAGAAAGTTAAATTTAAGATATAAGAAATTGTAGTATTCTATAATTAAAATGAATTTACACTAATAATATTATACTTCTAGAAAATAAGATAATTCTCATGTATGATATTGTTATCTTAAAAATATATTTTTATATTATATAATTTAAAATAAAATCGAAAATTTTCTATTATTAATTAAATATAAATCATCACTCAAGAAGCATTATTTAAGAAGTGAATTTGTTGTTTCATTAACTTTTCCATGATTTTAGGTAATTATATGTCATAATTTATATAATCCTATATTATTATTATATAATTAATTTTTATCATATTATATTTTTAGAAAATAACTAACTTATGCATTATATTGTTACTTTGAAAATATGTTTTTCTATTATAAAATTTAAAATTAAGATATAAATATTACAATTAAATATAAATCAAGAAAAATAGTTATTGAAATATATATTTTTAAATATTTTTGATGTTTGAGTTTTGTCATTGATAATTATTTGATGTTTGATTTTTACTTTTTGAAAACACAAATAATAACTTATTATGCTGATTTTTAAATTAATGAAACATCAACTAATAAATATTTATAATAGAATTATGCCCGCAAATACGGGCGAAACACCTAGTTTTAATTAATTAATATGTAATTGTTTGTTTTCTGCTTTTGAATTTTTAAATTTATCCAAAGATAGTTTTCGGATAACAATACATATATATAGGAATTATATTTTAAAAATAAAATATATTTTTAGATTTTGGATAATTCTTATTGTTATTATTTAAAATAACTATCTAATTAAATAAATTTAAATTCGTTTTTATATTTGAATTATAACTATCTAATTAAATAAATTTAAATTCGTTTTTATATTTAATTAATTCATATAATTTATTCATTAAGGGTATAAACGATATTAACCACTCCAACTTTTAACGTGGAAGCTCCATTACGAAAAAACACTTCGCAAATAATAGTATAGATTTTCCTTGATTTAATAAATCGACATTTTTATTACTTTTTCTCATTTTTTTTGTTGTTGCTAATTTACTATTTTGGTTGATAAAAGGTTTGCCATGTTTACTACTCCTTCCAATTTCATTTTACATGTCGTTATTAAAAAAAAATATTACAAAATTAATATTGTTTTCGATTTTTAATGTAAAATTTATTAATTTTATACTACAATTTATTTCTATTGATTGAAATATGATTAGATGTATAGATAATTGTATTTTTATATAAAATATATAAAATTAATTATTTTCTTAATCTGTATATATAAATATAAAATAACACTTAATATGAAACAGAGAAAATATTTATTAACATAGATTATTCAGTGAGTGAACAACTTGCTAGAAAGTAATCCATTTGTAGGAACGTAAAATAACATCACAGCACGAACGTAATCTATGTGACTGCAATACCATTATTTCATTTGTAGGTAAACCAGTTAAGTGAAAAAACAATTATCTTTTATTTATTACTAGTAAAATTAAATGTACAACTACTAAAGATAAATCAGTAATTTTAAACAATGTTTTTATTTTCATCAGCTATCATATTGAAAAATAAATTTATTTCTTAAATTAAACTAAAAAGATAGATTTTTAAAGATGTTATGATTATTCAGTGAATAAACACATTATCTTTAAAATATAAAAGTAATGATGATTTTTTAAATTTGTCAACAAAATTTAATAAGGTGACATGACTAGTTGACACAGAGAGCAATTAAAATTTGCTACTGATTTTGAAATTTTCAAACATTAATTGGTTTTGTCTTAGCAGACGATATTTATATAGGTTCCCCATGCGTAGCCTTTCAAAATCAACATCTTGATAGATTTACCAATTAAGTGAAAAGATTTAATTAGTGTCAACTTTTAGTTTTTGCAGTCCAGGTGAAGTTTCGTAAATTGCCATTTTACCACTTATTAAGGTAATTTCTTCAGTGTAGGAAAAACACTACAGCTAGAAAGAATTGTAACGTTTAAATCTTGGTGAACAAGGTAGCCTGCCTGGCCTAAGTAAACCATGTACTTAAAGCATCTCCATTTATTATTTATTGGAGTCTTTAGTTTTTATTTTTTTAATAATTATTTTCTTTTCAGATAAAAAAATATCAACCAATCGCAGATCGTCACGTGTCATATGTAGACCCGCAAATATTATAAGAATTCAGTAAAAAAAGTAATTTTAATTTTTGGTGAGTTTCACTGATTATTTTATTTTTTCCATAGGTATTCCTCCATAAAAATCTCTGTTATGAATGCTCTTACAAATTTCCATCAAGTGTAACTCCCGAACCTCTCCAATGCTTCGGGAGTTGCACAGAACCATACATTAGGTTCGTCACTCCGAACCAAATATCTGAACGCACGTTTTCTAATTGTGTTCATGAGAAGCTTCCAGGTTCGGGAGTAAACGAACTTCTTAACTAAGTCTACTTTCCCGCTCATCTACACACGTATATACTTCCTCTCTCTCTCTCTCTCTCTCTCCAAAGTCTAGCCCTTTTCTCTCTGGTCTTCAATCCATTTAACTTAGCCTAGTGGAGAAAGCTCTTTCTCTCTCTATTCTTCTCTCGCTTCATCGTTCTTTGTCTCTGGTTTTCACTTGTATTAACCAACGATGGACAGGTAAGCTAGAAACGTGTAAAAAACCAATGTCAAGATCTGCTAAGAAACAGATCTTGCTGATATGGTTTCACTCTTATGACTTATCTTTGTTTTCAAAGCCTCGAAAAGACTGAACCTTTCTATCTGTTTTGTGATTAAACATGCAAAACTCTCAGTTACTCTTCATCTATTTTGGGCATTAATTACTTCATCTGTTTTTAGCTTAAGAAGAATCTAGAGAAAATTGAGTGATTCGCGAAAGCTCCTCTGTCTTGTTTCAGACGAGAGATGAGAATGAGTCTAGTATAAACATGTTTATCCATCTTTGTAAAAAAAAAAAAAAAAAAAGTAGATATGTTAATAACCTTATATGGCTTTGCTATTGTCACTAAAAACTATCGAAACTCTTGGCAGGACTTGGATTGTGGATGTTCCATGGATTGTGAAGAATGTAAAAAATGTGTCTGGATCCTCAGATTTACAGATTAAAGACTGTGGAGCATATATAGACTGTCCAAACTGCTATAACCGGGTGGATAACAGAAATGTGGAGAACAACTATTGACAACATTTGCAATCATTTCACGTTAATGGTCACATGTATGATGATGTGAATATTTGAGTTGTTTTCTTTCTTTCTTGGTGTTGGTTTTGTAGGTAGTGACTCCATGGCCAGGCCTTCCTAAAGGTGTGAAGTTCAACCCAACCGATGAGGAAGTGATTGAGCATTTGGAAGCTAAGTGTGGTCTCGATGGCTCAAAACCAAATCCTTTTATCCAAGACTTTATCTGCTCAGTAGATGATATCAATTACACTCACCCTCAAAACCTTCCAGGTAACACTTATCCTCTGTTGGTTTGATGTTTTAAGTTGTTAAACAATAGTAAAAGTAACTAGTATGATATATTTATTTTTAACTATAACTTAAATCTAATTATTAATTCTAATCTATCTATAAATAAATTAGTATGATATACATTTTTACTACTCTCTCCGTTTCACTTTACATGTCATTGTAGAGAAAAAAATTCGTTTCAAAACAAGTGTAGTTTTATAATTTCAATGCAGAAGTTATTAATTTTATATAATATATTTTATTGGTTGAAATGTGGTTAGAACTATAGGTAATTGTGTTTTTATTTTGAAAATATATAAAATTAAATGTTTTCTTAATCTGTGTACAAAAAACTAAAATGAAGATATAATTTAAAACCAATTAATAACACTAATCTATCTATAAATATATTAAAAATAATAAAATATACTATTAAAATATTTGGTGCAATGAATTGGATATAACACTATTAAAAACAAATTTAAAGGGATGATGTCATTTTTGTGTATAGCTAAAAATGAAATTACACCAAATTTGATGTTTTGTTGTCATCTGGGAGCTGGTTTAAGTCATTTGTTTTGCAGGTGTGAACAAGAATGGAACTAGTAGGTTCTTCTTTAACAAGACAGTGCATGCATATCCAAAGGGAGAAAGAAAAAGGAGACGGATCACACCGTCTGATCTGACAGATGCGTCAATACGTTGGCGCAAGTCCGGTAAAACCAAACCAGTGATGATTAATGGAGTCCAGAAGGGTTGCAAAAAGTTCATGGTGCTCTACAAGAGCGCAAAGAAGGGATCAAAACCTGAGAAATATAATTGGGTTATGCACCAGTATCACTTGGGAAGAGAAGAAGAAGAGACCGGTGAATACGTTGTTTCCGAGATCATGTATCAGCAACAACAGGTTTAGCTTAATGAGTTCCTTTCTCTGCAAGTAATCTCGACGTTATTTCATGCACTGTAAAATGTGTTTATGTTTTCTGGTACAAAAAAATCAGCGACTGAAAAACATTCCAGAAGCTTCTTTTGGCTCTACATCGGACGAGACAGCTCAAGTGGAGAAGAGCCCTAATTACTGGGTTTTCAACATGGGTTATGAACAAAACTGCATGGCTTCAGATTTGGAGAATGCTTATCTAGGGTCTCTCCCTGATATCCGTTCGGTAAGATCTATCTATACAAAAAAAAAAAAAAAAAAAAACACTTTTGTTTATATACTTAAAATTGTTGAGAAACTTGACAAACAAGTTCTTCTTTTTTGCAGTTTGTTTCTGAGGACAGCTTAATGAATTGTCTGGAATGGAACTGAAACGTCAAGGTAAGGATTCTAAAGCAGGATTGTAAATAGAAAAAAAAAAAGTGATATCGATCGCCATGGAAATGTAAATAGTAAATATTTTAGCCAAATCAATGCTGAGAAACAACTGAAAAAAAATCTCATTTGATTTGTAAAACCGGAACACTATAATATAGTCTTGACTTGCATTGATTTGTTGAAGAGTAGAAGCTAATTAGTAAAAAAAGGTGAAATGGCAAAACTCAACAATGCGTAGCATAAAAAAAAGACGTCAAAGAACAGCTTTAGCCGATCTTTTAACGAAGTTACAAGAGAACGAGAGAACATATGTTTTTTTCTTTTCACCCCATTTGCAGGCACGACGACATTTAATAGTCTAAAGAAACCAACAATAGGATCAAGAGGAGATTAAACTAAGATTTTTTTTTTAAGAATAAAGATTACAAAGAATCTGAGAATAAATGTAAAGTAAATCACTAATAGTTTGTACAGACTAAAAAGAGTTATAAAAGAGATAAGAGATATAGAGACTATTCCACCAAAACTTCCCAACACAAAATGGGAACACATTGGAAACATGAAGTCAGTATTGAAAAGCAGACAAGGTTATATACCCTCACCAGAGACTCCACTTCATCAAATCACAAATAAACTGTACCCCTCCTCTGTTTCAAACTTCCTCAACCAATAAAACCTACCAACTACAAACACTGATAAGCACAAAACCTTATCAGCCACTGTCCCTAATGCAGTTCCCAGGCAATAAGTACTTATAACTCTCAGCTTTTTCTATCAAATGACCCGGGAGATGAACAGCTGAGTAAGACCTAGGGATCGGACCTAGCTTCCCAATGATCTCCCTAAACGTATGCTCTTCAGGAAGCATGTCAAACAAATCAGTTCCTCTACATATCACATCTTGTATCCTTTTGGGATTCAGATAATGAGAGAATCTAACTCTATNCTCTATCATTGTGACTATACGCTTTCATCTTGAACACAAACTCGCTGATGTGTCTGAAACAGAAACTGCAATGCCAACCAGAGTCTGCTAAAAGAGTGTCCCCTTGTCGGAAATGAGCGTACCGTGTCTTCTCGGGCTTGTACCGATGAATCGAAGCTCTCCAGCTTTTGTTATCAACGAAATACTCAAAAGAGTATAAATAGTTTTTGAGCTGAAGATGAAGAACCGGTGGGTAACCATCACACCATCTAAGGAGGTTTATGGTATGAGCGCTGGGAATCTCATCAACATCAGACATTATCAAAAGATCATCTTCTTGAATCCCCGCGAGTCTTATTAACTGATCCAATGCTAACCTCTGGTAAGCTTCTTCCACAAAAGGGTTCACACCTCTCTTGAATCTCCCTCCTATGTTCCCATAAGTCAACCTCGGCTCCACAAACTCGAATTTCTCTCGGTTCGCAGCGAAAACCAACGGTTTAGGTAAACCGGTGAAAGTGGAGTTTGATTCAAGAATCACAAACTGTGTTACATAAGGGTAGAGTTCCTTCCAACGGATGGTTAACATATCGACTTCGTTGCTGAAAAGGACAGCGTCGTAGACGCGTCTTGGAGAGTCTCGGTGTTTCCACCCGTGAAGGCTGCAGAGTGTCTCCATGGAGGCGTTGGGATGGTAGTAATGGGGGAGGGTTTGAAAGGGCTTTGGTGGTGATTCCCAGAGAGGTCTCAAGAAGTAAGTTAGCTTCTGTCCGTGTAAGTAGACTCCGAGGATGAAGATTGGGATGATGGTGAAGAAGAAGATGTATGTCTTGAAATCGAATCCTTTTAGTACACATCTAACTCTTGAAAAAGCCTTTGCTGCTCGAGAACCATCCTGCAAAAAACCAAAAAAAAAAAAAAACAGTTTACAATGCCTATTAATAAAAATCAAACCTTTCTACCAATACAGAGAATCAAACAGCGAATCAAACCCTAAAAAAACGAACAATGTATATAATGATCAAACCTTTGTATCGATACAGAGATCAGACAGAGAATTAAAACCCTAAACAAAACTATGATTCAGACATGAACTCAACCCAATTCCGACAAGAACTACAAACCCTATGAAGACATGTAATAAAATAATCACAAATCAGGGGAACCGCATTACAACCAATTCTCATCGATTTCAATTTGGTATCAGACACCAAAACCGATTCATCACGAAATCGAAACTCAGAAGTCTCTTCTTACCTGACCACAAACATCTTCGCAGAGATCGTCCGTTTTCTTACAACTATAGTACCCATCTGACATGATTGTGACCCACGATGAAAAGGAGGAAACTTTAAGGGAGGAAGCAAGAGATTATCGAAGCCCGACTGATTATTAAAAAAGAAACACAGAGAGGTTCGTCTCTCTGTGTACAAATAAATACCCGAGAAAATAATCTTAATCCCTCTCGTATTTGGAAAACTGTAACGCCAATTATAGCCGTTTGATGATGGTGCCTTTTGTGTTTTATATATGATGATGATGATTCATTCCCTAAACTGCTTGGATTAATTATTTTTATTTGACTTTCATTAAAGGGATATTGATTTTTTTATCAGCTTAAACAGCAAAAAAAAAAAATATTATTAGAGGATCCTATCTTAAATACTTTATTATATTTTAACTTTTTTTGTCAAAAGTATATATTTTGATTTCCGTTTACATTACCATGGAAAATATTTGTTTTTCTTTTCTTGTCATAGTAAATAGTACATGTTTCTGATGATATATACTAGTAGTAGTTTTATATGCTACTTGGTATTTATTTTCTGATGATAATTACTAGTATCACATCCTACTCGGTATGTATTGGAAATATAAATACCTATTTTGGATTATCTTTTTGTCTTTCTTTCTATTCCAGCAAGTAAATATTACATGCCCAGCCGGTTTTATAGAATTTTATTTTGAAAAGTATTATAAATAAGAAAATCCGAGAAAATTGGATGAATAACAATTTGATTTCTAAATATGTTAGGAATATACTTTTTTGTTTTAGTGATTATTTGCAATGTCAAACAATAATGATTACTATTATTTGAAGTTTTGAACTGGGTCTTCGTCTCCTCAATTATAGCTAGTCAATATTACATGTTCCTGGGGACCAATTAGCAGTATCTTGATCCATATATGAAAGACAAAGAACTTGAATGATGAGAAAGACAAGTTTCTGCTACTAAGTGTACATATGTGGACTTTTATATCTTAGTATCTCTTTACAGTTTCCTCTCATTTTCCAAAAACATAAAATTTATTATGCTAATATCTTCTCAACTATTTGGAAATATAAACATTGAAAATGATATGACTCTGCATTAACATATGATATGTGTATTTTCAAAGTTTGACTATAATTCTACGTGTCATTGCTTGTTTTCTCTTTGTTTCAACTTTCAACCCTAAAACTCATCAACCAAATAAATGAAAAGAGTGATGTTAATGTCACAGGAACAAGCAAGGGAAAAGAGGAAAATGTTATAGGAAACTTCTCAGAAAATACCATAAATTCTTTATCAAAAAAAAAGAAAATTCCATATTGTATTGAACTTAATAGACGGTTCATGATTTAATAATGGGTTTGTCTACAACATTGTTAGTGCTGAAAATATATAAATGGAACCGTGGATCCTGCAACAACTCTGGACCTAGACTCGAATAGAGTGGTTTGTTGACCCAACAAGTTAGATTAGATATCCAACCTTCTTCATAGTTAATCATACGTATTGTACACATACATTTATTTTCGTACCTATCGACCACAGTTCACAAAACACGCGTTCACGTTGAATAGAGAACCTGGTCCATCTGTTTTTTTTTTTATTAACAATCACACCCACCAGTTTTGTAGTAACATGGTTTGTCCCTTTAGGGGTTTTTCAAAGTTTTTGGTCTTTTGTGGTTACTTATTATTACTCTTATTGAGTTAGAGCCAATTGGTTGGGAAATCATCCAAACTTAGCTGTAATATTTTCTAACATGTTTTGTACCATAAGATAGGAATGTGAGAACTATGTTATAATATGTTATCTAGTATTATGTGGTCGTGGGTGTGCTTTTAATTCTTAAGGAATAATCTGTTATGAATTGGAATGGAGAGTAGTTTTGTTTTGAATGACAATTAGGCCTGGCCATTCGGATATTAGGTTCGGTTCCGGATATATCGGATAAATCATTCTTATACCCAATAGGTATTTATGAGATTTTGGTTCGGTTCCGGATACCCGTTTATATATAAATCATATATATATATACATATATACAGAATATATTAGTTAGTATGTTAATTTAAATGGTCTAGTGTTTACACGCTTACATATTTGTCAATCCAACAAAAGTTCGAATTAGTAAAGTGTTAATTTTATAAATATTTCTCGTATTTTAATGTAGAAATACTATATATTGATAATATAAGGAAATAAATAAAACATAATATGGTTTGGTGTTAAAAATGTACTTACTCTTTGTATCCAATCTAGGTTCAAGTGGGTATGATGTCATTTTATCTTATATTAAAAAACTTTAACTTGTTTTTTTTCAAATATTCGGGTATTCGTTCGGTTCTCAGTTTGGTTCCGGTTCCGGTTCGATTTTTCGAGTATAGAAATATAGGAACCATTCGGATATTTAAAAATTTCGATCCGGTTTCGGGTATTTCGGTTCGGTTCCAATTCAATTTCCGGTTGCAGTTTTTTTGCCCAGGGCTAGTGACAATCATAAAGATAAATAATTAGAAACAACAAAAAAAACTTTATTTTTTTCTTATAATTTAACGAATAATGGTTTATTTGTTTATAGTTATAATAGACTAGTTTGGTTTCAATTCGGTTTGATCAGGTAAACAAAACACTCCAATCACGCATTCACTCTTTTACTCAATTTTGATTCAAATCATCATTTAGGTTCATCTCTAGTAAGATCGCATCTGAAAATCCGAGGGTTATAAACATTCTTTAAATAATCTATATATATAAAGAAATGTTCACTCCCTCAAGGGAGTGCCATGTCACTAATTAGAGAAATCTAAGCATGACACATGTCCTTTCTCTA